GATTCTTGACCACCTCTTCCAGCTCGGGCTCATCTTCGACCCTCGGTGATAAGCCTCGGAGGGTGTTATTCTCGGTCATCCCCTTGAGGGGGGTTTCGAAGTCGTCTCCCATCTCGTTCGCCACAAAGTAGTAGGGCCCCACGGTGGGCGCCAAAATGTTTGTGCCTGGAATGTACCAAGCGGTTTTGTGAGACTCCACTGGCCTTGGGCGTCTTCAATGGTCGAGGGCGGTCTCCGAAACCCTGCAGAAAGGTCCTCAGGGGGTTCCTGGGACCTCCTCCGATGCCTAAGTTAGAGAGAGAAGTGAGATATGAATAAATGAGAGAGAGAATGAAGTAGGTTGAAGTTACCATTAATGTGACCCGAGGTGGGTATTTATACTAGCGATGGTGGAGGATCAGGGCATTTAATGCCATGTCGGGCGGTCCTGTACCGCCTGATCCCTGATCCCCTGAGACTGTCAGGTTTGTACTTCTGTCAGTCTTTGTACGGACTGCTCAGAGTTTGACCTTCTCCTCCTGTCGGGCGGTTCTCTGAGGTCCCGTTGCGGGAGTGTCGGGCGTCCTTCCGGGTCAGTTTTCCTGAGGCAGGCCGCCCTTTGTGTCCATTTGGGCCGGACTTGGTTGTCTGGTGGGCTTTTAGGCAAGTCATGGGCTTGGGGCCCGTAAGTCCTAACCGCTGTCCTAACAAGTTTAATATGTTGATTTATTTCATCTTTTTATGTATTAAAATAAATTTGTAGAGGAAGGACATATCTACATGTACACTCTACACAATATATATTACTAGCATGATAAAATTGTCGTCCCATTTCAAAATTCCTACAACGAGCGCAAAAGTATGAATGACTTTGTCTTCACCATTATTTATCTTTATTTTGTATAGAAAATAGACAAGTATTGGGAATTGAACTAATGTATCTTCAAACACAGAAAAGAGTCTTAACCATGATAGTCAATTGGAGTTTGACTCTGCTAGTCGAACCAATTGTACCTAAACCTAAGTATCTCAGCAGGTACTTAAGGCCTATTTAGTTGTCTACTAGGGCTCGATCAATCCTAGGAAAACCCAATCAAATCGGGAAATCCGACCGATTTAACCAATTCATTTGAGCAACTGGCCACTTCAAAACGATGTTGTTTTCAACAATTTCTCTACGTAGCTACGTTGTCATATCATCCTTTTACTTATCACAAAACCCTACAACGTGGAACATCACAGACCATATTCAACTATCCCATCGTCTCTTCTTCTTGCTTTAGATTCGAGAGCCTATAAAGACCTAACCATCTCAAAAGCCATCATAATCGTGCAATACTACATTTCATTTTTCTCCAGCTGCACAGTCATAAAGCCATTCGACCTCATCTCATACAAATAAGAAGGAAAAAAAACTTTGTGTGACTAACAGAGGCCAAATTCCACATTTTAATTATTGTTTGATACTTAATTAAATTCCTATATATCTTATAAATACAGGATAACTTTAAAATCTCGGCCCAAATATCAGTTGTTCAGGTTGTGTTTGTATCACCTTTGTATGCGAAGAGGGATTCTTTGGAGATATTACCTCTTGATACAGAAATCGAGAGAACCCTTCATAATCTAAGAAGAGTTAAGACCTGAAACTCCACTAATGTCGAAGTTGATAACCAGATTTCTCTTATACGGGGGAGTCGGGGAGAAGAGAGGAAGAAGAAGGTTTTGTTGGGTTCGAAGGGATAAAGCATCCGTAGCTTTTAATTTTTAGGGACATAAAATAATTAAAAAAGAAATTAGGAGTTTTTAGTACTTAATGAGAGGTAATTGCGTCATTTTACAACTCATTAATCGATCATTTAATAGAAAATTAGACAGAAGTGTATATTTGTTATATTTTTAATACTAGAAATGTATGCTTGTGCACAAAATTAATAGAGGGGTACGTTTATTAATTTACAATAATAGAAGGGTACAAAATGCTATTAACTCTAAAAAAATATAAATTCTTAACTCTGAACATAATTAACACCAAACACAAAAAGCTAATTAACTCTAAAAAACAATGATCAAATAAATAAAACCAATTTAAATACTAAAATAAATCGCCCGATGACAGTGTCGGAGCCTGAACAACGGTCTGATCGCGGGTGTCGAGCGTCTCAGGACCGTTCGACACCGACGAATGAACCTCTCTTCATCCTCTGACACCGGGGATCTGGCATTTCTCCATTTGTAGACGGTGGTGGTTGGGTTGTTCTCTAATCTCTGACTTCAGTTTTTTTTTTTTTTTGACAAAGGATTTACTTGTATTGCTCTTTGAAAGATAGGTTACAAGACAAGCCAACAAAGAAGTCCAGAACAGATCAAGGACAGACAACTTTAAGCACACGATTGAACAATCTGTGTTTAACAAATACAACAAGGGAAGAATAAAACACAGAAAAGATCAACCCAAAAGATCTGCAACACTTGAATCAGATCTAGAAAACACCGAAACCTCTCTTGCAATCAACCAATCAAAGAGCACCAAGCACAATCAGCTCGTTCGATCCGACCGAATCCATGACAATTGAACACAACGCCAAATGCCGCCTCCTGGGAGTCGCTCGAAGACGCTCAACACAGTGAATCTCTGGTGAGGGATTACATGGCGGTGGAAATGGAAGAGGATCGAAATGCTCCGAGCTGAAAAAGCAGAGGGAGACGAGGCACCAAGAACTTGGTCAAGGGAGAAGAAGAGCTCAAACCCCACACTCCAAGAGCTGAAAACCGCAGTCAGAAGGGCCAGACACCGCCTTCCTTCCACCAACGCCGACCAAGAGGCAGAGAACTACCACCAGGGGGAACGGAGGGGAAGACGCTGAATCGATTCACCATGCATGTTGATGAACCCACCATCTAGAGAGGAGACCCCTAGATGCAAAACCCAACCCCAAGGAGAGCAAATCCGGAAAAGGAACCCAAGAACAGGGCAAGGAAAGGCCATAAAGGCAAGAGAAGCTAAAAAGCTGAAAAATCCGATTGAAAAATGCCAAACCACAATCCAAGCAGCAAGAAAAGACTGAAAGGAGAAGGAAAGGGCATTGGGCTACCGCCGGTCACCAAGAGGTGCCGGCGGCAACCCCTGGAAACTCTCAAAGAGGCGCTGGAGAAGGAGAGAAGGCAGAGCACGTTTTTGAAAAAAAGTAAGAGAGAGAGGGAGAATTTTTCAATCTCTGACTTCAGTGAGTGGTGAACTAGTTGTTCTCCTCGCTGGTTTGTGGTGCAGGGCTGGAGGCTAGAGTCTAGACGGTCCAATGGCGGTTGTCTGACCAATTTAGTTTTTCTGACTACCACCATCGATAATTTCGATACGGTCATAAAGTTGGCTTCGATAGTTTTGATAAATACAATCATGATTTTTGTATTCTAGCATTAAGGTTTTGATTCGTTATTTAAAGTCATTGCATCATTATAATTTAAACAATATTTTGAAATAAAATTATCTATTAACTCTTCAATTTTTTATTTTGCCAGAAATTATTTTCAGTCGTCATCCTTAATCCACTAAAAAGAATTTATTTCATTTTATAACATAAATAGGGCTTTCAGAACACAAATGAGAGTTAAATGATGAATATACTTAGAATATTGACCAAAAACTAGTACTGCATATTAATTAGCAAATTAAAATGTATTATTATACCTATAATCAATTAGTCATAAATTATAATTTGATAATGTAAGAAAGGATTGAATCAACTAACACAAATTATAGAAATTATAATTTGATAATGTAAGAAAGGATTGAATCAACTAACACAAATTATAGTTTGGAGAAAGACAATCATGATTTTTGTTTTCTAGCATTAAGTTTTTTTCATTTTTGTCTCAGCGAGATGACAATTTTGGAGTGAAGTTTGAGTACTACTGCCCGTCTGTCACGCAAACTTCCAAGTGTCAATCCTCACTCGGTGGTTCCCCTGCCGGCGCGCATATATGCCGTGTACTTCGCCGGCAGTAATAACTATTTATTTATTAGTTAACATCATGATCGTTAGATTGTCAATTGTCACCATCGTTTCGGAGCTGTCTCGACCACCGAGGTACTACATTAGTAGAAAGGAAAAATTATATTAACTACATACCTACTCGTTGATCACTATCATCAATACATAATAAGGTAGAAACGACACTAGTTCTAGCTGGCCAGTACAAAACACAAGTCTAGATCTTGGCCGGCTGGCCGGCCTAATGACCACGTACAACCCGCATTGCAAACAGAAGTAGCAACTCGGTTTGGAATTGTTCCAAAAAAAAAAAGACATAAATACAAGAAAATTACAGTGTGGCAATTAAAATTTTAACATAATATTAATGGAAATCAGCTCAGCTATGTTTTCACAATCGGATGTTGAAACTCTCAAACTCTGCTATGTTTTCACAATCGGATGCTAAAACTCTCAAATTAGTGGTTGATGGTTAAATGTTTAACCGTTATAGAACAGTTGGTTAACCGTTGATAGATAGAACCGTTCATGCATTATAACTTCAAAGACATATATAATACACTAACTTAGAGTGAATTTATCACTAACAATAAATCATTTCAAATCCATATCATTAAAGTCAAACTAGTAATCAAGGTGGCAATCCGTAGTGGACCACTTAAAACTGACAAAGAAGCCTGAAAATGAAGAAAAAGAAAGCATAATTAACTTTAGTTCACGTCAAAGTATTTTTTTCCCCTTAATCTCTTTGTGGTTAAAATAGTGAACCAATGAAACAATCAAATTAGGGCGGTTCATCTAATTTCATATCAAACCGTTAAAATCCATTTGGTTATCACTAATCATCCAATCAATTGAAACAAATCGCTTTTATATGTGATTTAGTGATTCCACTGACCCAACCGTTCATCCGGTTCACTTTCTGTCTATAAAAAGTAAAAACCGCTCAACGTGCTTTGCCGAAAACAGAGCCATCCTGTAAACTAGCTAGCTAGATAGTTCACTTTCCTTCCAAACCCGCAAAGCAAAATGGAGCCAGCTTCCCTCACGGCCGGTCTCCAACAGGCGGGATACGCCACTCCGGCAGCTGTCGCCGTTATTTCACTGGTTTCCTCCGTCTATTTCATGAAAAAGTTGGTGGTCAATAAAGAGAAGGCTAACTGCGATCTCCGGCTAGTCCCAGGTATTGTGGGCACGCGCCTTAATAATTCTCTACTTGTCTAAGTTTGCTTTGATTGAGATTTCTCTCTTCTCTTGTCCCTTTCCTCGTTGTTTTCTTTTTGGCGATGGGTTGGAATTGATCGGTCGGAGTTTCAGCGGTGCCTGGGCTGCCGGTGATCGGCAACTTGTTACAGCTAAAGGAGAAGAAACCGCACAAAACTTTCGCCAATTGGGTAGAGACTTACGGCCCAATGTACTCCATCAAAACGGGTTCTTCCTCCGTCATCGTTGTGAATACCACTGATCTCGCGAAAGAGGTATAGTCTGACTCGGGTTTCCTGCCCGTCCTGTTATTTGGAGCACGGGATGAACCGACCCGACTCTGTTTCCTTGTCTATTGTCTTAGGCATTGACGCATTGTTATAAAATCAACGGTTGAGACACTGGAATCACTAAATCGGTTAAAATAGCGGTTCGATTCATTGTTTGGACGGTTATTAGTGTACCAAAAGATTTTACATGGTTCAACATAAAATCAGATGAACCACCACGATTTAACTGGTCAACTTATTCACTATTTTAACCACAAAATTAGCAAAAACACTTTAACGTAAACTAAGACCATCAAACCAAAATTATTAATTTTATTTTTCGCTTCCTCTTCTCATTTTGTAACCTAATTTTTTATTTTAAGTGATCCACTACCGACTGACTCCATAATTTTTAACTAGAATTAAACAAATTATTATTTCTTTTGTGAGACATTTTGAATGATTTATTAATTTTTTTTGTGATGATATGAATATGAAATTGTTTAACATCAATAATAATTTTATTTTTAAATTAGTATATTATACAAGCCTTGTATGTTATATATCATCAACAATTCTATCGACGATTAACCATCAATTTTATAATGTTAATCACTAAACTTTAAAACACTAACTTTTTTTTTCCAATGCTAACGCTCGGTCCGATTTTGAAAACAGATTTGGTTGTGTTCTGGTAGGAGATCTTCGCTTAGAGCGAGTGGGCCTCCATTTTCAAAGTGAAAACATAAATAATTGGGTCAATTTTAAGATTCGTAAACAACTCTTGTACTAAGTGTCTCACCAAAAAAAAAAAATCTTGTACTAAGTGGCCTCCATTATTCACTCCTGCATAATTATTCCTAATTAAAATGTTACATGCCATAACTCTGTCGTTCTAACTCGAATTTTAAAATTTTCTTACCCAGAATAATCAGATTAGTTATGTTTTATGAAATAACATCTATTTTAACATAATATGTAGTAAAAAAATAGTATAACGTCAATTGAAGTTCTTTTTACCATAGTATATGATGGGATATAGCTTAGTGGTACAGATTATACTAACGTGGTATGAAAATGTATAATAATAGTAGGTAGAAAAATCTTAATGTAGAGTAGTTACAGTGGTAGGAATATGCTAACTAACATCTATCATCATCTACCACCAGTCCACCACTATTGTAGAGAGTGGTATAATTGGTCATAGAAATTTTCTTCAAAATATAGAGAACTATAATCATTTTATAAAACATAATAAACTCATTTCTTCTTTGCAAAAATTTTAGAAAACGTGTAAAAATGATAGGGGTATATGATAATAGAGGATTGTAAGGGTGGTCAAAAATAATTTCCCCCAAAATAAATCGAAATAGATGTTATTTTGTTTATATAAAGACCAGAGTGCCCTTACATATACTGAACTACGCTGTACTAGTTGCCAAAAAAAAATTATCAACAATTTCTTGTTTGACAACAAAGGGATTTTCCAACTCTACTATAATTATTGAATTGCTTCCAAAAAAAATCAACAACAATTTCTGGTTTGAGTTCAAGGGGATTTGCCAACTCTTTTATAATCATATAATTATTGAATTGCTTCCCGGAGGTCACTACTCACTAGTGTCTGCTGAAATGTGCTAAAATGGGCGTTGGATATTGATAGAACTACATGGTATATTTGTTGAAATTGACTGGATCCAACCCGTCTACGGTTGATGATATATCGAATATTAAATCATTGTCGGATGATGGAAAGAAATTTTACTTACAAATTTTGTATGATAAATTGAAAAGTTATGATAAATTGAGTCAATTGGTCAAATTGTTTGGTTTTTCAATTGATCCATTCAAATGATCTCATAGTGCTCCGGTTGAGTTACATTTATGGGGATCGTTATATTAGTGGTTTTAATGAAAAGTTAGTTCTGATGATACTGGTGCTGAATGAAATTCAACCTGCCCCAACTCAATAAATCCTGAGATTCAACCTGCCTCAATTCAATAAATCTTGGGGAAAAAGAGGTAAATCAGATATCCAAGTTTTTGGAAGAATCACCAAGTCTGCTTCAATTTTGTTTCAGGCGATGGTGACCAAGTTCTCAACCATGACTACAAGGAAGTTGCCCAAATCTCTTTCCGTATTAAGTATGGACAAAACCATGGTCGCTCTGGCTGATTATGATGACTACCACAAGATGGTGAAACGCCACCTTCTCACTAATATGTTGAGCCCAAGCGCCCAGGTTTAATGAACCCTAGCTAATACAATATTGCAGTCATACAATACAGTGTTCAAATTTCCATATTTTGTTTTTAAGGCATGAAGCCGAGTTTTGAATATTACTATGTTTTTGGCAGAAACGACATATCTCCAACAGAGATGTAATGGTGGACAACTTATCTGCCCAATTGTTGGTTCACACCAAATTGCATCCTGAACAAGCGTTGAATTTCAGGAAGACATTTGAGTCTGAACTCTTCGGTCTGTCTATGAAACAAGTAATGTCACTATTTCTTTTGTGCTTTCCTTTTTCAGTCTGAAAAATTAATCTCACCACCAACACCAAGGGCAGGGCTATAACGTTGAAACATCCTGCAGGGAATTGGGAAAGATGTGGAGTGCATATATGTTGAGGAGCTAGGCACTACTTTCTCCAAGGAAGAAATCTTTAGAATTCTGGTGTTGGATCCAATGGAAGGTGCCATAGATGTCGACTGGAGAGATTTCTTCCCGTACCTCAGCTGGATCCCCAACCATGGCTACGAGGACAAGGTCGAGCATACGCATTACCGGAAGCAGGCAGTGATGAATGCACTGATTAAGGAGCAGAAGCAACGAATTGCGTCTGGCAAAGTACGTACAAAATTCATGCACCATATAATAATAAAAATGTTCTTTCTGATTATGAGCTAGCTACTTCGATACTGACAACATGTCTTCACTTCTCTCTCAGGTGATCGATTGTTACCTTGATTACCTGCTATCGGAAGCCAAGAACTTGACAGATCTCCAGATGTTAGTGTTGATTTGGGAGACCATCGTTGAGACCTCCGATACGACGTTAGTGACTTCGGAGTGGGCTATGTATGAACTTGCCAAGAATCCCGATCTTCAGGAAAGACTTTTTCGGGAAATCCAGACCGTCTGTGGATCCGAGAAACTCACAGAGCAACACTTGTCCAAAATTCCATATCTGAGTGCCGTTTTCCATGAGACACTTAGAAGGCATAGTGCTGTCCCTATCCTTCCTTTTCGCCATGTAGGTGTAGACACAGAGTTAGGAGGGTATCATATCCCCGCCGGAACTGAGGTAATTAAGGGTCATCAGGAGAGGAAACCACTTCGATATGTATATATGGTAAAGACTAGCGTAGCGTACGGCTCATTGAGTTTTGCTATTTAGACAATGAAATTAACCGGAATTTGAGACATGATACTATATCCTAACCCCTAATGGGTGAATCTCAATCCCTTAGAAGGCATGAGATTCGACGAATATGAATCGTTGATTTTTATTTTAAGATTAGGGTATAGTATCATGCTCCAAACTCTGGTTAAATTATGATCTAAATAGTAAAATTCTATGGGGCGTATGCTAGCCTGAACCATATATATAGCTCTCAGTTTTAGACGTAGGAAAAACTAAAACATTCCAAGTGCTTCAATTTTGCAGATAGCTATCAACCTATACGGATGCAACATGGACAGCAAGAAATGGGAGAGACCCGAAGAGTGGTCGCCGGAAAGGTTTCTTAACGGCAAATCGGACCCCATGGAGTTGCACAAAACAATGGCATTTGGGATCGGGAAGAGGGCTTGTGCGGGAGCCCTCCAAGCAATGCTAATTGCTTGCACGTCGATTGGGAGGATGGTGCAGCAATTTGAGTGGAGGCTAAAGGAAGGCGAGGAAGACAAAGTGGACACCATGTCGCTCACAAGCAAGAAACTTGAACCGTTGCAAGTGTTCATCAAGGCAAGGAGTTGGAGAAAATGACAGATACCTCAAGTTTGATATTCTTTCAAGGGATTATATATGTCTGAGTGTCAATGATGTTCAACCATGGGGTATGGACGCTTATAAAGTCATATTTTTCTAACTATCCAGTTTGTACCTTAATTTTCATTAATATAAACATCTTTTGAGTTGGCAATAAATTCTATTTAATAATTGAAACAATGCCTAGATGTTATGTTTGGCCCGACTTTTATAAGTGTTTTTATGCTTAAAAATGTTGAAGTCGTCGAAAAATTGAAAAAAAATTTAATAACGAGATTCAATGAATAACTGTTTTGAAAATATAAGATTATCATTATTTTTATTATATTTTCAAAATATATTTTTATTTCATCTATATCATTTAAAATCTAAAATAATCTATAAAATAATATTACTAATTGTCAAAAAAATCTAACGAGATCTATTTTTAACTTATATTTTATATTAGAAATCTATTTAAGTCATTTCACACTATAATAGTTTATCAGCCAAATACTCAACTCTTTTTTAAGTACTTCTTATAGTATAAAACTATTTTTGAAAAGACCAAACTCACCAAGAATGTTCCTTTTTGGTTCGTTATCCCACTCCTGACCTTTTGATTATCAGCTATTGGTTTATATTTAGAGCTCACTATAACGTGAAACAAATTAGTAAGAGTAATGTGAAGAAACTTGCAATTCACCTTTTAAATAAAATTTGCATAGATGAGGACATAAAATGTCTGGTAATTCAAAGTTGATGTTGCATTACCTAATGGAAAGTAGTGCGAGAATTGACGCCACCAGATTTGCCATTTTATGTTGGATGCTGTGGAAAAATAGAAACCTACATGTGTTTGAAAAGAAACTTGAAATGTCGTCTAGCATATGTAGATGTGCGGTTCTCTTCAGAAGCAGTTGAGGAAGTTGTTGCCAATACCGAAATTTGGGAGAGGGTCCATTACGCGCGCATAATTAGCAGGGTGATGAATCGTAACCCACGATTCAAGGGTTTTGCTTGTAACTCACAAGCGAGAGAAAGACGTTGGTGTCTATAAACCTTTGATTTATTTGATTGATACGGAACTAATGCCAAAGGTACATATTTATAGGCTTAGAAAATCCTAATACTTACCCTAATCCTATCCCAATTCGGCTACCCCTTCCCAAACACAAAAGGAAAAGTTAACCCAAAAGGAAAAACACCCTAGCCCAAACCGAAACTACCCAAAGCCCAAAACATGAAAACTACCCTCATCAATCCTTCCCCCTCAAAGAACCTTGTCCGCAAGGTTCTGATGTTGACGAATTCCGCGGGGGACGACGTAGCTTTTGCAGCGACAAGGCTTTGATCGCCTCCTGAATTTCCAGCTTGGATTCCGTCCTCTTGTCTTCTTCCTCGCATTGGTTGGAACTCGCGGCTCCGCAGCTTGGCCATTGACGGGGTAGAGAATCGCATTTATACTAGGATCATGGCAACTTGGCAATACAAGTGGAAGACTTGTATCATAATCATTATGATAATTTTGGTACCATGCAAACGTAGGCCATGTACGTATGTGTGGATGAACAAGTACTGGTTGGCGCCCAACAACTCCATCTTCGCCAAAGTCAGACTGCCGCTGGTCCTGTGTAATCGCTTTCTCCTTCGACCCATCCCGCACACGTCTAACTAGTGAGCGCCGTGCTGGCGGCGGCTGTTCAAGTGAACCCGCACAGCTCCCATTGCCGGTAATTGCTCTGCCTCCTCTATGTGGAACTCCCGTGGCGGCTGCCCTCTTCTTGCAACCACCAGATCGAGGAATGATAGCCTCGCACATATTAGATTCACCTTTGCGCACTGCTTCCTTCGTGTCAACCTCGTTGACGGAGATCTTAATATCCCCCACCGCCCTAATTTCATTGGCGTCGACGCGGGTCATGTCGTCGTCGTTGCGCTCGCCTCCGGAGACGATTGCGCGGTAGGTGTTCAGCTCTCGTTCTCGACAGAATGTCGTGAACCTTTCACGCGACTTTGCTAGCTGCACACAAGCGACCTTGGTCTGCTCGAGTGCCATCTTTGCATTCCGCGCTAGAGCGCGATACGGGGCTAGGTCAAGAACCATGTTACCCTTCCCAGTAGGATGCGTAACCAGGCTCTGATACCAATTGATGAATCGTAACCCACGATTCAAGGGTTTTGCTTGTAACTCACAAGCGAGAGAAAGACGTTGGTGTCTATAAACCTTTGATTTATTTGATTGATACGGAACTAATGCCAAAGGTACATATTTATAGGCTTAGAAAATCCTAATACTTACCCTAATCCTATCCCAATTCGGCTACCCCTTCCCAAACACAAAAGGAAAAGTTAACCCAAAAGGAAAAACACCCTAGCCCAAACCGAAACTACCCAAAGCCCAAAACATGAAAACTACCCTCATCACAGGGATGGCTCGTGGACTCCATATTGCATGGGAGATGGGCATCTGGAAGATGGTTGTACAGACTGATTCGAAGGACAGCGGGGCCTACTAAACATGGGGTACCTGCATACTAACCATCAAGGACTTTGTCCTGGTGCAGTGCCCGATGTTCTGCTACCATCATCGGGGAGACTTCGTCTCCTATACCAAGGGAGACTTCGAACCTGGGACCTTGTCACATCTCAAATCTGAAACCCAGCCTCTTTACCAACTAGGCTATCTTACCATTGGCACTGGCACTCAGCTTTGATACAAACTAGGCTATCTTACCATTGGCACTGCACTCAGCTTTGATACAAGAAGCTCGTTAACTTCTTGCTTAGGAATGGGAGGTGGAGATTTATCATGTCATTAGGGAGGGTAATGTTGTTGCTGATTAGCTGGCGTCTTTAGGCAACAGTCTTCCGTCGGGTGCTCACGACATCACTACTCCTTGCCCGATGCTTACGTATCGGTTGTACTATGACTCTATTGAGATTAGTTTGCCCTATTTAGTTTCTACTATTAATTAAGACCATCCATATCGTGAGTGGGTTGGGGGGGGAGCGGCGAAAACCCCACATCATGGGTGGGAAAATGGAGAACGGGGAAAAGATGGTGGGTTTTCCCACCCATATGCGACAAAAAGGGAAGGAAAGGGGAGGGGTGGGGGCGGGACACAGGCTCTTTTTTTTTCTTTTTCTGTTTCATTTGAATTAAAGAATTGTTTGTATGTGTTGTATTTTTCCACATGAGACAGCATTGACCAACGACATAATTAGTAATGAAAAAAATTATGTCTAAATTATATAAAAAATAATATCAAAATTTTTGTATTAACTAATTATCACTAACTACCTAAAAATAATGATCATTATATAAAAAAAAACTGACAAAATCAACTATAAATTAATTTTACCAAAAAAGTGTTAAACCAATTATCCCATTTTTCCACCCTTCACATTGTGATCAAAACTTCTTCCTCTTCTTTTTCCTATTTTCCCACCTTTCCCTCCCACCTATATCGTGAATGGTCTAAAGGTTGGGATGCTCATTAGCGCTCTATTTCCCAACAAAAAAAATAAAATGTCTGGTAATTCAACTCATGAATCGACTTCGCAAACCTAAAATTCAAGCCAAGTCCAGATAAATTAAAGTAGTGGACTGGACTGTGGATGGTAACAGAACTTCTGCCTGGATTGGCTCGTCGAGAGACATCCACTCCATGGGCATAGGATAGGGTGAGTAACCCTTTGTTACTCACCCGTGAGTAACCACATAGGGACCGTCGATCTTGGCGGGACGGATCTTGTGGCTGTGATTGATGCGGGGTTTTTTGTCCACGGTCAGGGGCATTTTTGTCCGATATTTTATATTTGAATTAAATGACTTTCCCTCTTTGTCCGTTGCAAATCTTTTCTGTGCGCGAGTTGGATTCGGATTTTGGAGAGAGAAACTACGAGCAGGGGGAGCAGCAGCTGAGAAATAAGGACGGCGATTCTCCATTGTTGATCGACGGCGATAGAAACTGCGAGCAGCAGCTTCGAATCGAGCTTTCTGATTCTCCATAATTGATCGACGTGTGCGCGAGTTGGATTCGGTTTTTGTAGAAAGAAATTGCGAGCAGCGGCTGCGAAACAGGGGACGGCGAATCTTTTCTGATTCTCCATAATTGATCGACGACGAGGTTAGATATTAGTTTTTTTGATTCTTTCTGTTTAGCTAATCGAGTTTTCTGTTGATCTCTGGTTTCGTTGGAGGTTTTTGATTGCTGCTAGTCGAGCTTGTTTATGTTTAGCTAATCGAGCTTGTTCATGTGTTATGTTCTTTGTGTTTTGGTGTTTTGGCAGTATTCTGGTGAGATGAGTAACGTAAATTGTGGCGATGTTGTTCCAATTGATAGATCTGGTTCTTCAACCAGCGTTGTAGGATCTGGTTCTTCATCTAGTGCTGTTGGAACTGCTTCTTCATCTATTGATCTTGGATTTGATCATTCAGCTAACTCTGGTGAATCAGGAGGTAAGATATGCAAATTTGTTTGTTTATTGAAGTTTGTATAGTGTCGTAATTTGATTTTACTATGCCTTATCATGTGGTAATTGATTTTATAGTACATTATCATGTGGTAAAATGTGGTAATTAGGAAGTTAAATGTGATGTTTCTGTGTGATAATTGATTTTACCATGCCATACCATATGGTATAGTGTGGTAATTTGATTTTACCATGCCTTATCATGTGGTAATTGATTTTACAGTAGATTACCATGTGGTAAAATGTGGTAATTAGGAAGTTAAACTTGAGGATTCTGTGTGATAGTTGATTTTACCATGCCATACCATATGGTATAGTGTGGTAATTTGATTTTACCATGCCATACCATGTTGTATAGTGTGGTAGTTTGATTTTACCATGCCATACCATATGGTATAGGGTGGTAATTTGATTTTACCATGCCTTTATCATGTGGTAATTGATTTTACAGTACATTACCATGTGGTAAAATGTGGTAATTAGGAAGTTAAATGTGAGGGTTGTGTGTGATAATTGATTTTACCATGCCATACCATGTG